TTAGAGGTCCAGAGTGTCCCTTTACCCAAGCTTTTTGGGGATCAATGGAGGCTTTGGATTGGAATCCTCATGCCTTGGGTCAAAAACGCCATTATTGAGTTATAGGGTGTGTTATGAGCACCAAGATAGGAGCTTTACGTGATGAATCAGTCGAGGGAGGCCAGATCTATAGTTTTTGGAAGCAGATCTGACCTTAGAAGCGAGTTGGAGTGGTTGCATGGCATGGACTCGCCGAGTCTGTTCATCCAACTCGGCGAGTAGCTTGAAGATTGCCTTGGGACTGCTCAGCGAGTGGTCCAAACGAGTCATGGGTAGACTCAATGAGTCAGGGTGAGTCGGAGAGGGATGACGAGTGGACTGAGTTAAACCTGGACTCGCCAAGTTGTCCTTGAGACTCGGCGAGTTGAGTCGGGGTGGCCCCGCGATTCATTCAGGTGAAACTCGTCGAGTAAAGGGGGATACTCGACGTGTAGTAAGAGGATTTCAGAGGGTGGTGAAAACGTCTAGACTCGCCGAGTCGCCATGGTACTCGCCGAGTCCGGTCAGAGTTGACCGTTGACCGTTGACCAGAGTTGACCTGTGTTGACTCCTTATAAATAGTCAACCTTAGAGATACAAAGTGTTAATTAGAAGCATATAATGTTATAGGAGGATTAGAGCTCGGAGGATCGAGCACGAGGGATTTCCAGGATTCGTGAGATACCGAGATACGCGAGGTGAGTCTTCTCACTATACTATATTACCTTGAGTAGGTAACCTGAGTTATGTGATAGAGTATTGTATGCTATGTATGTTATGTGTTGTACTGCATTATTTCTATGTGATTTATGTAGTGCATGTTTATCAGAGCTAAAACCTGAGGGTTCACAGAGATTGGGTGCACGGACCCACAGAGTTATAGCCTCGAGTGGCTAATATGTGTTATATGTGGTATTTTGGGGAACTCACTAAGCCTTGTGCTTACAGTGTTTGATGTTATTGTTTCAGGTACTAGTGACGACCGCGGGAAGGCGTCGGCTTGATCCGTACACACACACACTCGGAGTTTTACATTGTGATCTTGGGATTTTGTATTGACCTATTTTGGATAATTAATATGGTTGTTTGATGAATATTAATGGAATTATGTTTTATAAGAAAATTGAAAATTTTGTTCTGAAATTTACGGTGTTACACGATAACATCTTATATTCTTGAAACCGAGATGTGTGAGTTGTATCTTGCTAATCTGTTGCACATTGATAATATGTAAACGCACTAGTAACTTGGTGTTATAAAACATATTGTTGTGTGTGTGATTCGGTGAGTGAGTGCAAGCGAACATTGTATCAAAGTTTATCCGTTCCTTTTATCTAAAGAAGGACAAAGCGATATCTTTGGTCCCCTCGATGATTTAGTGATGACAAACGTAAATGCTCGGCCGGGCTAGGGCTAATTTGATTTGTTCAATTAGTCAGTCGTCATAAATCGGAAATCGAGAAATAGTACAAAGAGAATGATTAGAAATCATATCACAGACGATATCTAGAATGGAGGAATATATGATCCCTTATCTAAGGACACGCGTATCTGATATGATCAGAGTTGACAACGGCTTTGGAAAGCTACGATTGCAGATCAGGATCTGAAGTCATACGCAGAATAGTTATTAGACTTATCCAAGTGGGAGACTGTTGGATTAGTGTCTAAGTCCATAACTATTTTGGTATGTACTTGACCCGATGGTGCATGGTCCTTTTGGGTTGCCTTCACCAAAGCAACTTGATAGGATGAATTATGGAGAGAAAGGATTAAATATGATTTATTAATGTATTATGAGAATAATATATTAAAGGAGAAATCATATTGTTTAATTAATATTAGTCAATAATTAATTGGTAATTAGTTTTGTGACTAAAAGATATTAATTAAACTTAAGGGACTGGAAATGTAATTATAAGATAATTATAATTTGGGCCATGGATTGCCTTATATTATAAGGTGGATGAATTCTATGGGGAAGCCCATATGAAATCGTCCAAGGCCTTAAAGAAAAGGCTCCATGGGTTGCTTAGGGCTTAAGCATCCAAATTAGGGTTTCCTTGTTAGATAACATTAATAGCCTTACTATATATAAGACCCTTATGACCCAAAAGTGTGGCTAATGATCTTTCTAGGGTTTCACACGTTTTTAGGTAGCCTCCAACCTCTATCCTCTTCATCCTCTTGCTTATGGTGTTTGTGAACCATTAGAGGAGTGACAATTGTGACTCTATGCCTTCCAAAGTCAATACAAGGAGATTTGGGAATGTTATTGCTACATAACAATCAAGGTAACATTATAAACTTATTCTCATGTTAATATGATTATTTGAATGCTAGAATTAGGGTTTATAGTCTTGGATAACTTGCATGTACAATAGAGAAACCTAGATCCAAGCATTAGGGTTTGTATGAGCACATAAGATGTCTTATGACCAAAACCCATCAGTGGTATCAGAGCCTAGCTTGGTTTCAATTGTATTGATGCATTACATGTTCAAAAAAATTCGTTTTTTGGTGTTTTGGAGGCTAGACTCGCCGAGTCCATAGCTGAACTCGCCGAGTCCATGCAGACTCGACGAGTCAACTCGTCAGAAGGAGGGTATCTCGGGTTTTCTTGCTGTTTTTGCTTATGGATAGTTACCTTATCATGTTAGATCAATATTAATTCGATTATATGATATATTTGACTATAATTTTGATCTAATTGAAGATATTTATCAATTAATAAGATAATTGTTTCTTTATGTGATAATTGATTAATTATTTATTTTGAGTAAATTGATAAATTGTTTTGCAAGAAATCATTAAATAAATCAAATGTGGATAATTATGTGATTAAATGTTAATTTGAATTATTTGTTATTTGATCATTGTTGTTATGAAAAGTCTCATATTTTGCCCTTTAGGTTTTATAGTTTAAATTTGAACCCAAAAGTTTTATTGTTTTGAAATTTAAATAGTTAAAACCCTAATGTTTTGAAAAATGTTTCAAAACTTGCCCTCAAGTTTTGGAATTTAAATTTTGATTAAAATTTTAATTTTGATGTATATTTAAATTCTAACCCTAATGTTTTGAAATATTTCAAAACTTACCCTCAAGTTTTGGAATTTAAAAGTTGATTAAGAGTTTAATTAGGAATGTTAAATTCTAAAACCCTAGTAATGTTTTGAAAAGTTCAATTTACACATTTATGGTTTTATTAATTAATTAAGGTGTATAATTAAAAGTTTCTTTCTAATTTTTTGATGATTTTTTTAATAGTTTCTTTCTAATTTTTTGACGTATTGTTTGAATACATTTTAATATTTTTTTTTACCTTTTTTTTATTTATATTTTTTGTAAAAAATGTGACAAAGTTTGTTAAATGTGAATATTAATAACATAGCTTAGGTATAAAACTATTTTTTAAATAGGATTAATAAATAGATTATACGAAATTCATAAATGAGTCTTAAGTTATACAATGGCTAATTTGAAAGCATATAACTCAAAAACAAATATTTTAAAAAAATGAACTCGAAAACATTGACACATATGTTTAAGTTATATGAAATTTTGATTAGCATTTGTCATTTAGAACAAAATGTTAAAAAATTTCTAAAACTAAAAAAATTAAACTCGAAGTCATTGACACTCATTTCAAATTCCGGTTAGCGTATACAATAACTCTATTAAAATAAATAGTTTTATACTTAATATGTGTTAATCATATTCACATTTAACAAACTTTTTTTTTACAAAAAATATTTATAAAAAGCTTTACAGAAACATTAAAAAAACCAAAAGATAAACTAACAAAATATAAATAAATGCAATAAATGGTATGATTTTTAAAAACAAAAGCTACTTTTTTTTTTATCAAATCGAGCCTTCTACTTCAACTTATTGTACCTCCTACTTTCTGTTATTTTGACTTGTACCTCCCACAATTAACCACCAACGGATTAAATACATGTAGTAATTTATCTCACAAAAGATTTTTATAATGATAAAAAATGTAAATAGAATGCAATAAATGGTATGATTTTTAAAAACAAAAACATTTTTTTTGTAAAATCGAGCCTTCTCCTTCAACTTATTTTCGACTCAGGTATTGTGTCTCTCTTTCTACAAGAAGCACTCATATATTAAAGCATACAAAGGGAAAATATAGAAAAAACACAATGTATTTTTACTATTTTATCAATTTAAACGCTTAACTATTTTCTATAGTGATTAAACATTATATATTTGACCCTTTAAAACAACCATCTTTCTAACTTACCAATTTTGAAAAATGGAAATGTACACAAAGAACAAGATCCTTTCACCATTGTATCACTTTGGCTACCAAACTATAATAATCATACTAATAAAATCACCACATAACATTATACTGTCTATTCTATGTGACCATGCTCACAGAACAAAATATAACTCGACTGAACATAATGGTTTTGTATTGTGTTTGTTGTGTTTTGGATTTAAAGCGGAACGACTGATATCAACAAAAAAGTTGAAATTTCTTGCCTCATCCATAAGACATGAATATCTTTCTCTCGTCCTCATATATAGCCATAGAAAGTTTGTTCAGTGATGTCTTGTGTAACAAAAATAATGAAATTACGTAGTTGCTTTTTGTTTTCGGTCCCCACTTTTTACATTAAGTTGTTAAACAAAGTTTGAACAACAATAAATTTTGGCATCATTTGTATGCTTTATGTATTTTGAAAGTTCCAAAGTTCATATTTTTAACTAATACTTGATGTTGTGTTTGTAGCTGTTGGAAGTGACTTAATTCATTGGTTAGATTAAAATTAACCAAGATCTAACAATGTTCTTTTGGATTTATTTGTTTATCTTATAGTAGAAAACAATGTTCTTTTGGATTTATTTGTTTATCTTATAGTAGAAAACAAGTCCTATAAATGGGGCAACATTCTTCAAACTGAAACCATCATTAAAAAACATCTAAAGCAATAGGCTCATTGTTATAATGGCTCAAATCAATAACAAAACAATCGTCTGCATGCTTTTCATGATCTTCCTTTTTGTTGGTATCATGACAACAATCGAAGGCAGAACCGTTTCTCTTGGTAAGTCTAACACTTATCAATCATCTATATTTTTATCTCAAAACAATCAAATTCTTATGCTTGAACTATTTTTTAACAATATGATATTTGTTCAGATTTTACAATACCAGTCCCTTTTTGTTCTTCCGTTATCAGCGTGAAAAATGGAGATACTTGTTTCGGCATAGCTCAAAAGTTCAAAATGAGCTCAGAATTCTTTGACATTATCAACCCGAATCTGAATTGCAACAAGTTGTTTATAGGAGAATGGATTTGTGTTGATGGACTATGATTATATATAGTCTTCACAATAAGGTTATGAATGATCTAAAGCAACAAATTGTTCAACCTTCTAGACCTCAAAAGGATTTGCAATTAATAAAGAAAGTCGATTTACATTATTCTCATTGGTTAATTATTTGCAACTTTACTTCCAAGTATTGTATGCATAAAGTCTACAAATGGCAAGTTTACTCTTAAATTCCAAAAAACAAAAGCTCATCCATAGTAACAAACAAAGTCTTATAAATCACTAATCACACATGAAAATCTTGTATACAATCTTAGTCTACCCGATGAAAGAACTATCGGGTGCAAGTCCAAGCGGTACTTTCCGCTGTTTTGACTTGTACCTCCTACAGCTCACCACCAACGGGTTAAATACATCCCTCACCAAAGCTTTTTACAATGAAAAAACAAAACATAAAAATATAATTCAATATGTGGTACGCTTTTTCAGGAAAAAAAAAATTATAAAATAAAATAAAACACTTTTATTATTAAATCGAGTCTTCTCCTTCAACTTGTTGTCGCGCTAGGTATCGCTCACGTCGCTCTTTCTGCAAAAAAGCACTCATAAATTAAAGCATACGTAGGAAAAAATACACCATTTTATCAATTTAGTCCCTTTAACTTACCATTATATCAATTTGGTCCCTCTTCCATGTAATATGATTATTTTTGGTCCCAAAGTATCGCCGAGTTTTGCGATTTGGTCCCAAAAATAGTCTTTTTTTTTTTGGAACAGAGACCACAAACTATCACAAGGCCAAAATTGAAACAAGAAAACATTTAGGGACCAAAACTGAAATAATCAGTTATACCCAGGGACTAAAAATGTAACTTACTTTATTTTTTATAATTATTAAATTATTATAATAAAAGCTCTCACCCATTCATCTATCACAAGACCATCACCGACAACTTTTGGTCCGGTGTCCTCTGGAGGTTTCTTGCGGGTTTCAAGGGCCGCCTCAGCCTCCGCTAACTGCCGCTTCAGTTTTTCCAATGCCTTGCAAGAAATAGCAACGTACTTTCAAAAATCTACCCAAATATATCAATAAATATTATTTAAATACAAAATATTGGAAGTCAATTGCTATAATTAGGATTATAAGAAAAAAATTGAAAGTAAATAGACAAATAAATGAAAGTACATTGCTATTTATTAACTTACTGGGCTTGGACGTGTGACATCTAGGAAAACAACTTGCAGTATCTGCTCCACAGCTACTAGATCTTTCTGCTCATCAAACTGAGTAAAGAAAATCATTTAGAAAAAGGACGAATTTAACCTCATTGAGTTTTTCCATGTATTACCCTTATTGTGTGTTGTCATTTCATCATATATTTTATACACATCATTCATCCAGATAACACTTAATGTAAAAAAAAAAAAGGGCTTACTAGCTCAGGTATGTAGTCAATCACTCCTTTGACTTTCAGACTCATGATTTTGAATTTCACTTTTCTCTTTGTGTCTATTGGCTTCTCATTGTTCTCCGGAGGTTCCACAAACTTAAAAACTATTACAATAAAACCATTAGTGAAAACTGTAAACAAAAAATCACTTGTGTAAAAGACATAAATGCCCTCCTTATCTTCATAAATATCCCTACAAAGTTTGTAATGATGTTACTTACCGGTTGCTATAATGGTCTCGCCTGGAGCTAAAATGGCGCCTGGAGGACGCATGAAACAACTTTTTGGTGCAGTTGTTTGAAACTACAAAAAAATAAATAAATAAAAATTGTGATTTTTGATTCATTAAAGGTCTATGTGTGAAGGTTAAACAAGGTTTATAGTCATACCTTGAAGGCAGCATGAGACTTGCTGGTGTTTTTTATCTTGATAGCACTTTGAACTTGCTTACCAGGTTCATCTACAAAGTTCAAGAAGAAAATTGACATGATTTTTCATTAATCATAACATAATTAAGTATATACATAAGGAAAAGAAGGCGTATGTTAACATATTTAGTTAACAAACAAATAATAGTTTATGCATCTGATTCTGAGCCAAATTGGGTTTACATAGGAAGGATTTGACAAGCTTTCTAGAGATACTTTTGATGGTGAGGATGAAGAGGGTATTCATGTCTTTTGCACAATTACAATTTTTGTCTCGATGTGGGTCCCAGTCATGCTAGACACTGTGCAACCTGTTTTATCTTGTTGTGTGTAACAAATGTATCATGAATTCATAATCTATATTCAATAACATCATGTTGAAATCATTATAATTTAGTTAAGCTAATGAGGCAATTGTGTAGAAGGTTGTGGTGACCTCTAGAAGCATCCACAAGGTTGTAGCCTCTTTAATTGTGTAGAATGTTCCTTGTAAATATCTAGATATTTTGTTTGAAGTTTTGAATGGGAAATCTCAACCCTTGATGTAAAAGAATCATAGTCGTCCATTGATGAGTACAAGTAGTATGAACAGAGTTGTCCTGTATTTGGCACAACACACCTTGATGTTTTCTTAGATGTTACTAGCTTAGGGTTTCCTAATAAGAAATTTCTAATAAAAGAATGAAAACTGTTCCCAAATCACACTGAAAAACCTAATGTGGATCTATTTCGCTTGATTCACTTAATAAACACAACATTAGCAGGTTTCTAAAGATAATAGTAAGAGAAACATAAAATCAATTTATATTGAGAAGATTATCTGGATCTATCGAGTTAAGAAACAGATAATTAGTACTCAAAAAATCAGTAATGATCAGTTTTCAAATAGAAATAACAATAATGGAAGAAAATAATGCAGTAAGTTCATACATGGAAAGTAGAGTTTATTCCGTGGATCAAGCCGGAGACGCCGCCGCGTCGGAAGCAGAGATCTAACCACCGATGAGACCGAAGTAGTGGAGCTTGAGCTATATTTTTCGTTTTTCTTATGAGCGTGAGATCGTTCGATTTGGTACGAAGAAGATAACGTTGTTGTATGTGGAGTAGTGTTACGTGAGCTTCGAAACGGTAACTTCAATATCCCCCAAAGTTTATTGCCGCCACCGTCAGACGGAGGTCTATCGTCGACGATTGGCATCACCTGCCAGTAAATAGCACCGGAAGTTTTTCAACAGTTGAGTTGTGTTTCAAAAGGTTCTTCTCTTTTTCTCTCTGAAATTCATGGACTCTTGACTCCTGAAAATCCAACAAACAAGTCGCATCGTTTATTTTTGTCCCTTCCAATACGCATACTTTACACCCTCTTTCTCTTTTTAAAAATGAAAAGGTAGTAGAGGGAAGGAAGTATTTTTCAACCTGTTCTCGAGTTTATATATATATATATATATATATATATATATATATATATATATATATATATATATATATATATATATATATATATATATATATATATATATATATATATATAAATGGAGAGGGGAAGGAAATAAAAGGAAATGTGTATTCTTTGAGTTTTTTTTAAACAAATGTCATATTAGTCCATCAATTTTATCGTATTTGTTTTAAAAGGTCACCAAATTTTTTTTGGCACATTAAGATAATGAACTTACATTTTTCTGTTTTAAAATACCCTTATATAACCTGATACCAGGTTCAAAGATAATATAATGTCAAGAAATATAATATTAATGTCAGGTCATATAATGAAATAGTCACGTGTATTACCTTTATCTTGAATTGTTTTAAATAAGTCGATTGCGTTCTTTAATCCCCTCCTCGTTGAACAAACCCTTGATCCCACCCTAGTAACTATAGACTGATGCCTATATTCTTCTCAATCAAAGTTTATTTCAAATGTGTGTTTATCAACAAACCTTTTTGCTATTCTGATGGTATTCGGTATGTGTTCGAGAATATCGATTTTGCAGGTATGCCTTATAATGAATTTGTGGGTTTTCTTGAACGATTCACACCAGAGAAGTGTGAGAAACTTTATTATTGTCAACCTGATTTAGAAATCCCAGAAGTTTAACCTTGATTTCTAATGAACTTCAATGTCAAAGTTTTATAGACATTGCTTATCGTGTGGAGTACAACTGGCAGTTTACATGGACCATTTTGGTACTACTGTACACGCAACTAAGGAAAATGAAAAAGAAGATAATTGTTATGTTAAGTCAAAAAAATGTTAATCGAAGAGGAAGAAGGTATTGACCTAACCGAGTTCATGAGTCCACAACAGAGCAACATGGAAGGAGTAACCTATGAAGGAGTAAGTCAGGCAAATGGAAATGAGGATGCCACAGATGGTGATCCAAAAGATGATGAAGATAACAATGTCCCAGATAGTGAAAAGGACAATGCCCTAGATATGAAAGGAAAACCAATGTTTAATGAAGACATATCTTGGAAGAAGCAGATGCCAATTCTAGGTATGAGGTTCACCAACCCTAAACAATTGAAATTCATGCTTTGTAATTATGTTATAGCCAATGGGTATCAACTGCACTATGAAAAAATGACAGTAAAAATGTTATTGGTTAAGTGTTGTGATGGTGAATGCACATTAGACTTTGGGCGTCATGGATGAGTGAGAAGTACTCATTCCAAATCAAGTCCCTTATCAATAAGCATAATTGTGCAAGAAGTTTTAAGTTAGGGTCAATTATTAATTATAGATGGATTGGTAGTCATTTCACCAGGGAAGTTCTTGAGAATCAGAAATTCAATGTTAGGATGCTAAAAGAAGAAGTAAAGACTAAATTCGGCATAGAGGTTAGTATGGGACAACGTAGGAAAGCTAAGCAACATGTAGTGTCTTTTGTTGAAGGTGCCATAGTGGAAAATTATGCAAAGTTTTGGTCATATGGTGAGGAGATAAGGTCTAATCCATGGTCAACAGTCAAGTTGTCTGTGAACTCTATGCCAAACGGGTAAACTTACTTTAGCGGGATATATATATATATATATATATATATATATATGTATGTGTGTGTGTGTGTGTTTTCATGCACTAAAGCAGGGTTGGAAAAGTGGTTGTAGAGGGATTATACACTTGGATGGGTGTCTTTTAAAAGGAATGTGTACTTGTCAGTTATTATGTGTTATTGGGAGGGATGGAAACACTCATATACACCCACTAGCTTGGGTTGTGGTTTGTGTTGAAAATAAAGACAACTGGAAATGGTTTCTAGAAAATTTGCTAGAAGATCTACCCCTGGGTATATGTAACATCCAAAAATTTCAAACCAATTTAAACTTTTTAAACATATCAAGTTCATCAAAACATTACAACTTTTGTTTTCAAAATACTGATTATCAGAGTTTTTCCCAGGAACATAAGTATAATAGGAGGAGCTGTACAATCACGCCTTCGCCTTGCCGCGATCCTCTGATGTACCTAAAACAATAAGCTGAAACTGTAAGCCCGAAAGCTTAGTGAGTTACCCCCAAAATACTGATACACATACAGTCCACATAGCAATAACAACATTAGCATATCATATCAATAAAACGGAATAGCATGCACTGGGTCCACAACTTTATTACCTGGACTGCTCATGGGCCCTCAGTACGAGTCTGGAATGCCTACCAGGCACTCAGCTCGTATCTGGTATGCCATTGAGCCCCCAGTACGAGTCTGGAATGTCTATCGGGCCCTCGGCTCGTATCTGGAATGCTCCCGAGTCCTCAGTATGAGTCTGGAATGCCTACCGGGCCCTCAGCTCATATCTGGAATACTCTCGGATTTGTTGGCTACCGCACGGAACAGTACAACCTCAACCCACCCCACATAACACGTCGACATGTAATAGATAAATGCACATACATGCAATCAATTAGTATCACAAGCAGCCCTATAGATCTACCCGACTAGCATATCAACTGGCATACATTACTGACTCAACTTATCATATCATTAACTACTAGGATATCAAATCTAATGGACTGGCCTTGGTGCCTTATACCCTTCAGTATAGTGAGGATAACTTACCTTGTAGATTTCAGCTCAGTAAATAATCAAAGCTCTCCGATCACTTGTCAAAGACTCCACCACCTATTACCATAATATGACAGGCTCATAAGTCTTTGTCCTTACAGAAAAACTAACCTTGATCAAGGTCAAAGTCCTTAGTAAAGGTCAACAGTCCATGTTGACCTCAACTCGTTGAGTCCACCCGGCTACTCGCCGAGTCCTTTGAAGCACCTCCAACTCGCCGAGTCATCGGGGTGAGTCGTCGAGTTCCTTCGAATCTCGATCAAACCTTAAGGGCACATGTCGAGTTCCCTCTTTGTAACTCGACAGATATACATGCAAACATGTACTAGTTAAAACTCATCCGACTCGCCGAGTTGTTCTTCAACTCATCGAGTCTTATGGCAATCTTCATCGGACTCGCCGAGTCGTTCGTCCAACTCATCGAGTCTAATGCACGCTTTCATGTGACTCGCCGAGTCGGCTTTGCGACTCGCCGAGTCCCTTCAGTCATTTTATCATGCAGACAACTTTTAAGCCATGGCAAAGCCCCAAACTGTAGATCCAACTTCCTTAGGCCTGCTTATCACGTAAAGTTGCAAACCTTACGTGCATGCAAGGCCCCAATGTCTCAAAAATCCCAAACTATGCTTGAAATGGGGTTTTACACTTAGGGAGGGGCTCAAAATTGCCAAAGCTAAGAACATTATGGTCCTACAATCCATAGAGAGTTCAGATCTGAAATTACAACTTCAGATCTTGGCTCATACTCCAGGAAATGACTTTATAACCCAACCAAGAACCCTAATCTCCAACCAAGGAGGTCTAGAACGAAATAGAAAGGAAGATAACAGCTTGATACCTTCCTAAGAGATGACAACTGGAGTAGATTCGAATTTTTCCCCAAGCTCCTTGCTTCAAACCACTTGCTTCCCAAGCTCTTTTCACCAAAATCCTCTTCCAAGGCTTCAAACACACAATGGGCACATGCACACACGTATTAGGGTTTGCTAAGAGACTGCAAAGAGGCTGAAAGAGGTTTGTGTTCCCTTAAATAAGGTGCACAACCCCGGGATTTAGGGTCTTAGTAGTCAGCTCCTACTCACCGAGTCCCAGTATGGACTCGTCGAGTAGGTTACTTAACCCGCGATCCTTCCCACTGCTACTCGACGAGTAGATCAACTGACTCGTCGAGTAGGGCTTAACCCAATAACTCATATTTAGAGAATACCTGAGAATCGGGGCGTTACAGTATACCTAATCATAAATGATTAAATGTCAGAGATGTATAATTATATATGATTATACATATTTATACATTTATGTCTAATCATAAATGATTATACATAACTCTGTTCATATATTATATATTTAGTAATCATATATGATTATGGTGATTAGTGGCAAAGGAGGTCGTAGTGGCAGAGGTGGCGGTGGTATAGGTGATGGAGATGGCAGTGTTGAGGCCGATTGATGGTATAGGTGGTGGTAATGGTGGTGGTGGTTGTGGTGATGGGAAGCTAGCAGGGGAAAAGGGAACGGTGAAGCTGAATGATCATTTATGATTATAACTCTTCGGCTACGCCGATTCACCGAAGCGCTAGAAAGGCAAAGAAAAAATATATGATTGAGGTTGAATATCAAGATCTCAAATTTATTTGGAATCTGAATGGAACCTATATATATATATATATATATATATATATATATATATATATATATATATATATATATATATATATATATATATATATATACATGCAAGTGATGTCCTGTCTAGCTGGGTTGATGCATCGGGTTTTAAACCCATGTGAGGTGTGAGGTTGGGAGTTCGATTCCCTTAAACTACCTCTTGTGGTGCCACACGTGGGTAATTTTTCCCTGGAAATCCTTATGGGAGCTGGGTTTGATCTGTAAAAGATCTCGAACCCGGAGTACTCGTTGAAATATTACGAGTAGACTTCCACTTAATTCGTTTGTCGTTTCCATACACACACGCATATATATATATATATATATATATATATATATATACACACACACACATATATATATATATATACATATATATATATATATATACATATATATATATATACAGAGAGAGAGAGAAAGAGAGAGATAGGTTCAAATGTTTTCAGCAAATATTGTGTGCCTAAATGCACCAATCAGAAATTAAGAAAAATTAAATCATTATTAATTAATATAAGGGTATGATAGTAATCTTGGTTATATATTCAATTATAGAAAATATTTAAACCATTTAATATCCCTTTAATTTAGTAAAATCAGTTTTAAAACCCTATATATCATCGATCCCTTTTGCAGGCAGCATTCACCTTCGTTTTAGCAACTTCTCACCACCGATTGTAGCCCTTCCTTGCGATCGATTAAGATTCATCGGCCAATTTCTGACTGTTTTTGTGTTTCTTTCTTCTCCGATCAACAGAGGACCGAAGTCTTTCCCTCCATGCGTGATTGTTGTCGGATAGAAGAAGGAGCAGCCTTCACTGCCACTTGACGGCAGCACTGCTGCCTCCGTCCCTTTCCTTTCCACAATTGGTGGCTGACAGAGACAAAGATAGTGAACCAAGGGAAGCCTGACGGAGATTAGATCTCCCTTCCTTGCGATCTGTTCAACCACCGACGAACCCATTGGAGCTGCATTCAAAGGCTTTCTCATGGAAGTTGTTCTAACACTATATGTAAGTGTTTGATTTTCCCTAATTTTATTTACCCATTTGATACTATATTCTTGATTTTTTGAGATCCATCATATAAAGATGATGAAGTCTTCAGTCAATGATTCACTTGCTCAACCTGAATTTACCGGTACATCAAAAAATCAGATAGTGAAGTCATCCTGCTTCAGGCACATAGAATTATAGAATACTTTCAGATAACATATAAAACAATTACTTTATCATGTTTATATTCTATCTTGTAGAATTTGATATTTGAAAAAGACATTGGTGAAAAATTTATCTCTTATCTTCCTCATGAATATCAAGCACCAAAGGAATAATCTTCAATTAGTAGCAATAACAAAATCACCTTAGTATCTAATATGATGAGGGTAATTCTGCCAGAATGGAATCACGAATTCGAATTATGTTAGAATGAAATCTTGGATTCCAATGCTTAAGCTCCAATTCAACCTAAGCGTTGAATTTTGTATGATCTATCATGTCTACAACTTATTATTTTTTCTACACTTACTCATTGGTTTTTGCATTTTCTTCAATTTTTACTTATGGGTTTTGGTGCAATTCACAACTTTCATTCTATGAGAATATAAATATTACATAAAACATGTGTTTCTAGTAATTCTGACAGAATACATTTATACATGCTTTAGAATGTTTATGCATATAGAAGAAAAGACTATGATTTAAGTGCATTCAGTAATGTATTCTTTTAGAATTTATTTATACAAATGCATTCTGTTTAGAATGTCTTTGAGAATGTTTGTTAACAACAAGTATATTTGTTTAACTGGTAATACTAACGGGTAATGTATCTTATTCTTTCAGAATTGCATGGAGAATGAGTTTAATACTGATCTTACAAGAGAAATATTTGGAATGGAGTTCAACAACAAGTATATATGTGAAGATCAAGTTGGTTATATGGACAATTGAAGATGATCAAGTGTATTTGTTCAATAATTGTATATGCAAGAATGTTATTGCTTAAGAATTTTATTCATTTTCAATGATATTTTGTTAGAATATGTATAACTACATTAAAATGTATAAGGATATTAGTCTGTAAGAATATGTATGAATTTGTATTTAATTTGTATGTATATTAAGAATAAAATCATTGTGACATCCCCAAAATCACGGCCAGAAAAGACCGGTTTTGTTTATACTTTATTTCAAAATCAGAGTTATCTTTTAATAAAAGAATTGCGGAATTTGTCCCAAAACAATAATATGATAAAGATTTATCAAAAGCATTTCCATAGAAATGTATTTCATTAAAAGACTCGGGATGTCATGTTCGTACAGATCAAAAGTATAAACAGTACAATATAAGCCTTACTACATTATTTCATATCTACAGGCCTATATCCGTAATCCCTCGTCCAAAACATCACACCTATGCTCATGCGCCACTTCCTGTAATACATAAAACTGAGTGGGTCAGGCTTGGGAGCCTGGTGAGCACATAGGGTTTTCAACCCACAATAAATAAGTTTATTAATTTCATCAATCAACAATAACCCGATTACCCGTTCCCGTTATCCTCACTTTACGTCCCTAAACACCTATCATAAGGGACCTAGCCTAAGGATCATCATCGGGATGGACACTACTGCTAAGGGGATTCCTCAGCAATAAATGTCCTAATAGGCAACCATGTGGGGGATGGAGTACACCGGTGAACACATCGTTCACAACACCTACAGGTTGCGAGCCTGCTAGTGTTCCACTGGACTGTCTAGAAGAGTCCGTGGTCGTCATCTATACTCCGCTAGATGACTGGATCAACAACAACAACATCGAGGCCTCTCATCATTTTATCACACATCACCTATTACATCTACCCATGTTTTACCCCAACATTTTCGTAGATATAAAATACATATACAGTTTAAATCATTGAAAACATGTATAACAACGTTCATCTAGCATAGATAGCAAGTATTCAGATAATATGCACACATAGCACGTAATTTATATAAAATACTTCATATCTATGTGTAAGTTGAAGGTAACTATGCACTCACCTGATTAGGTGGTGACTCAGCACTCGGACAGCGCTTCGATACTCTTAAAATGATATTCCTTCGATAAAACCTAGTATCGATATCACTAGGGTTTAGTTTAATGATAACCGCGATAAATTAATTAGTCTGACTATTATTAAGCATTAATAATGCTCAATATAACTCATAATAATAGCCCAAATAATTATTTTAAGGACCTAATAACATTCCTATAATTATTTGGAAGCTATATTAAAAATTGCGTAAGCGTAGCATACTTACAGCGAATTTTATTGAAAACCGGGACTCAATTGGAGCAGCGTTTCGAAACCGAAAAACTCCTTTTTCTCGGGACTCCGGGAGCCTCGGGGCTTCCTTAGGGTGCTAGGGGTTCAACTAGGGCTTAGGGAGGCTTTTAGAGAGAGAAAGATTTTAGAGAGAGAATGAGAAAAGGTGTGAAAAATGGAGAATTCGCCCTTTTATAGGGCGAGGTCGCCTCTACGCGGGGCGTTCAGCAGCTACGCGGGCGTTCCTCGGATAAGGGCGCCAGCTCGCAGCCAGCTGTCTCGCACCGGACGGAGGGGAAGCGAAGGTACGCGGGGCGTACCCGGACCTCGTACGCGGGGCGTAGGGCGAAGCGGCGTGGCGCCTTCTGGACCGAGAGCGAGCGGACGCGGGGCGCACGAAGCCGGACGCTGGGCGTAGCGAGGAGCGACGTGTCGCATATCCGAGCGAGACCGTGGGCCGCAAGCGACGGCTCTGATCGCGCCACGTCACCCGATTTCGCATCAGTTTCGCATTTTCGAGTTCAAACTTCAAAAATTCGTAACTTTCGCATACGAGCTCCGTTTTTGACGTTCTTTATATCCACGCGAAGGTGGGAACGTACTCTACAACTTTCGTTTAGACTTCGTCGGCTAATTTTGGCTCGATTTTAAATTTTATATTATTAATGGGCCGGGACACGATTGATCCGTTAAATCCTCATAACTTCTTCATCCGACATCCGTTTTTGCCCATCTTTTTCTCGTTACGCTACTCTCAACGAGATCTTCGATTCTCGTTCAGGTCGTGTCGGCTAAAAACCGCTCGATCAAACATTCGAATTTCGGGCAGTACATTGCTAGTCCGAAACTTCGAGAAAGCGTAACTTTTCATACGAAGTCGGATTTGGGCGTTCTTTTTATCGATGTTCTTAGTTTAACATATTCTACAACTTTTGTTTAGATTTCTAAGGCTAAAAAGTCTTCTATCGTAAATTTACTATTTTATGTCTTCCGGTGCCGTGCCGGTTTTGCCGTAAAACTTCGGCGGGCCATAACTTCTTCATTATAGCTCGGATTTCGGCATTCTTTATATGTACGGAAACCTTGAGACATATTCTACAACTTTATGTAGAGATATCGGGATTATCTCACACTTTAATTTTGACGCTCATTTTTATTCTTTTTAATTATACATTTATAATAACACATAAACACATAGTTCACATAATACTCAAATATTTCATATTTATTACTTCAAAAAGAGTTACAATAGTTGACCTAGACTATTACATTGACAAAATGCTTAGCCCTGAAAACCCGGGCGTTACAATTCTCTCCCCCTTAGGATGATTCCGTCCCGGAATCATGCATCAGCAAACAGATGTGGATAACGACTCATCATGTCATCCTCTGTTTCCCAAGTGAGATTCGGCCCATTCGAATGTTTCCATGGACTAGCACTAAGTCGACCATCTTGCGTCGTAACTTCTTAGTCTTACGGTCAACAATTGCCTCGGGCTCTTCGATCAGCCTTTTATTTTCATCCATCCTTAACTCTGAGATTGGAATTATGTCGGGAACATCTCCCACGAATTTCCTCAAATAACACACATGGAAGGTGTTATGAATACCATTGAGTTCTTCGGGCAATTCCAGCTTGTAAGCTTGGTTCCCAATCCTCTGAAGAACTTTGAACGGTCCAATAAACCTTGGACTCAACTTTCCTCGTTTCCCAAATCGTATAAGTCCCTTCCACGGTGAGACTTTAAGTAAAACGGAATCCCCAACTTCGAAGGTTATCGGTCGTCTTTTCTTGTCAGCATAGCTCTTCTGACGATCCTGAGCTGCTAACATTCTTTCCCTAATCACCTTCAATTTCTCAGCAGTCTCATGGACTATCTCGGGGCCCATAAACTGCTTCTCTCCGGCTTCAAGCCAACAAGACGGCGTACGACACTTCTGTCCATACAAGGCTTGATAAGGTGCCATCTTGATGCTCGAGTGAAAACTATTGTTGTAGGAAAATTCTACTAGAGGTAAGTGTTCGTCCCAATTCCCTTGGAATTCGAGGGTACATGCTCTCAGCATATCTTCCAACGTCTGAATCGTTCTTTCGCTCTGACCATCAGTTTGCGGATGGTAAGCAGTACTCAAACACAACTTTGTACCCAACTCCTCTTGTAGACTCCTCCAAAACCTCGACGTGAAACGACTATCACGATCTGACACAATCGTAAGAGGGACACCGTGAAGTCTTACAATTTCCTTCACGTAAGCATTTGCGAGCTTATCCATAGACCACTTCTCGTTGGCGGCTATGAAGTGTGCACTCTTGGTGAAACGATCCACGACTACCCAAATCATGTCGTGTCCGTTCTTCGTTTGGGCAGTTTAGTCACAAAATCCATGGTGATGTCTTCCCATTTACCCATGGGTACAGGTAAAGGTTCTAAACTCCCATACGGTTTCTGATGTTGTGCCTTAACCCTTGCACATGTTACGCACTCAGCCACATACTTCGCAACATCGAGCTTCATCGTCGGCCACCAGTAGTAGGGTTTTAGGTCCCTATACATTTTAGTGCTACCGGGATGAATCGAGTACATGGTCTTGTGTGCTTCTTCCATTAGAAGATCTCTTATTCCTCCCGTCTTAGGTACCCAAATTCGATCTTGGAATACCTTCAGTCCTCGACTGTTCGTA